GACTCTGCATGGTCACAGCGTGACAGAAGCACCAAGAAGAAGATTACAGTCAACTAGTACCTGCTGGATCCGTAAAAGGCTGGAACCCATGGTGATGTCCAAAGGCATGAGTGGGAATTTACAGTGGGAGTGAGTGAGTGAGGTCTCTCCGTATCAATCCATAATCAACCTGAAACACTGTAAACCCTTTTTATAAGTAATGAATTCATATAAAAGTGTTCCTGATCTCTTAATATTTTTTTTATCATTTGGTGTTTTCTCAATAACCAATACTGAAAGTATAATATGCTATGCAATATTTTAGGGTTTAGAATTTAGGGGCCTTGATCACCCAATGCTCCACATACTAGCAAGGTGAGAACTGGTTCTGCACATCAAGGAAGTTTTTATTGTTAGTGATGACAGATATTCTCACCCCATCACCACTCAAAGGTTAGTTACACAGCATGGATTAACCAGAAGGGCTGCCTTGCTCCAAGTCCTTCACCAAATCCTGGGCAACGCAGGTGTCCCCTCCTGTCCTGAGCCATGCACAGTGATGGCAGGGAAGGATTTAGTGAAGCTTGCCTGGGCTGCTGACCTGAAGACACGAGCAGGGAAAAAAGTTAGCAACCGTTGAGCAAGGATGCAAGGTCTATAACAAAGATGAGCGCGACACAGAACAGCACATGAAGGTGAGCTACAGAGACAAAACAACCTTTCAGAATGGGAGGGGCTGATACAGAAGCCGAGATTAACCACTACTTTCCAATGTCCACACCAAGAATACTGCCTTGAAGAAAGGTGCCCATGTAAAATATGTAACACATGCTTGATAAAAGATGCTCAATAAATACTACCTCTCTTTTGTCCACTAAGCTATTCCCTAGCATTAGAGAGCTATTTCAACAAATTTATACCAAGCAGCTTCTATAGATTGCTGAGTACTAATTTAAAAGATTAAACATTGGTTAAATCTACTAATGATCTAGCTAAAATAATAGAAAAAATGAAAAAATAGACCAAACAGCAGGAAAAAAAATTGACCACTAAGATGTTTTCTCTACTCAATTCTTCCTCTTTTTTTGAATAGGTGTCTATCTCCACATTAGCAGCCACAATTTAGAAAATGATAAAGGAAATAAATTTCTCAAATGTCTTTGATAGGAGAGGGTATTAAGATAAAAACAATGTACCTTGTATAAGACTGTGTATTAGAGGTGCCTTGCTTTTTACAATGTATTAATGCATAAAGTACAAGGAATTCCGGAGCTCCAATACTGCACACATGGAACAAACACTATATCTAATATGAAGGTTTATTGAGAAATTTGCTTGGAAAAAAAAATCTGTACATGCCATCTTTCTCAGCTCTGCTGCCTTTTGTTATTCAGGCATCTCTTCCACTGGACACCTGTCTAGTTAACTCAGGTGTGAGGAGATAGTCAGTGGCTGTACTTTGCAGGAAGTATAAAATTTATGAGTAGTTCATTGTTTGCTTTGAATAAGAAATGCTTCCAAAGCTCCCAGTTTCAAAACCATTTTTACCATTTATTGTGTTCTCTGTCTTTTCCTTACAAACATCTGCTCAACATGCATGTAAGTGAGTTAGGAATATATCCAATGGAACCTTCAGAAAAAGAGCCCAGAAAGAGGCCACAGTGGATCATGGCAAAGGATGGTCAAGTATCACAACACACTACTGACATTATCACATGTGCACATACTCAAGCACACACGAATAAAACCTCTTACTTGCAAGAAAGCAGGTACCAGTCAAAAAATATATGTTTGACAAAAACACTGAAAACTGTATACTAAAATTTAGGTTAAAATAACAGGGACCAGAAATGAGGGTGGGGGTGGGGGACTAGCAGTGCACTTACTATAACATGCTCCTTTCTACTTCAAGAATTTGAAAGCTGGACTCCTTGGTGGTCCATTGGTTAAGAACCCACCTGTCGATGCAGGGGACAAGGGTTCAACCCCTGGTCCAGGAAGATTCCACATGCCACAGAGCAGCTAGGCCCGGCTGCCCAACTACTGAGCTCACAGGCTGCAACTGCTGAAGCCCAGGCACCCAGAGCCTAAGCGGCAATGAAGATCCAGTACATCCATAAGTAAATAATAGTAAAGAATTTGAAAGCTACCTATTTTCCCAAATACTATCATTCTAACCACAGAGTATGCTTACTGTCCAATGGAAAAGTGTATTATAATAAGTCAGATGAAATGTTTGTACCATTATCCAAAGTGATTTTATACCCAAAGATCAACAACACTGAATAAGCTAGTATATTTAAAATAATTTATGGCATTAAAAGAGAAGTAGAATTTACTTTAAAATGGTCCTTTTGGATGCAAAAAGCAAATAATGAAAGAAGCAAAAAAAAAAAAAAAAAAAGTAAAACTGGAGTACTGAAGTAACTGTAGTTTTATACTTCATTTCACCTAAATTGGTCAGGCATCCTCTACTCCCAGAAATGCCTGTGATGGGTTGCCAAGTTAGCCTGGACTTCATCTCAAGAGTTTTTTCACTGTTATGATTCAGCAGTTGCCTATTACTACCAAACAGTCTCAGCATGGTCAACAACACATACAAACTACACTTCTGACTCTGGGGAGTGTATCCCCTGGCATTCACAGCTTACACAAAGAGATACTTGAGTGAAGTTCAATTTTTTTACGCTTGAAAAAGGAAAGAACATTTAATGCAATAAGGGTAATTACAATGCTCTTAACCAAAGTTGCCAGATTCTATGGATTCCCTCGAGTTAGTTGTCAAACATTTTTGGGAGGAATCCATACCTAGAGTCTAATTAAGAATAATGGATAAGTATTAGCTACCAGGAATGTATTTCATAAATCCAGTGTTCATAGTGCTTCCACCTAGAGAATTTTGCAAAGGCAATTTATGAACACTAAAATGTTTTCCTCATAGAGAAAGCCCACCACATGTAATGCTGTAAATTATATGATTTTCCCCCCACCCTTTACAAAGTATACCAAGTTCTAAAGTGATCTGTAGGGGAAGAGTAGTTTCTAAATCACCTCAAAGTCAAATATTTTCTCTTTCATCATCATTTATGAAACACATTAGTAACATAAACCAAACACATCAGAGTTAAGAAGAATGAGGTCCTGATTAAACACCTGGATCTCTTTAATAGCAACTTCAATATAATCATCAATAACCACAGAGATCTGGAATATTAAAAAGGGAATATATGATCCCAAGCAAAGGTTCAAATGAACACCTCTAGTGCCACTTGAGGTTTGGGGTGTGGAATTAAACGAAAAGTAGACTATGGGCTGAAAACATATTTACATTCCAGCACCTGTCGCTCATTAACTGAATCTATTTGGGCAAAAACTGAACCTCTCTGAACTTGGGCTTCCTATCCTTGAAGTGAGGATAGTATTACTCATGTGGTCCAGTTCACAAGACTGTAGCAGCAACAGCGGCAGTGGAAGTAATAAAAAAGAGAAAGCAGTAATACAACTATCATCTTCTGAGGGCTTACAGTGTGAGGTGAACGGAAAACCACATGATAAGATGGGCATGCCATTGTAGACAAGGAAGCCGAGGCTCAGCGAGAAGAACTCACACAAGGTTGTACATGTGCTCCTGGCAGAATGTAAGAGTGAGCAGCAACAACTCTGAGTCCAGAGGCTGTGACCTGGTTCACATCTCAAAATGTATCCTCATGAGTCGTCTGATGAGGTAATGTTTGTGACTGCACTGTAAATGGCAAAGTGCCAGTAATGCAATGTGTTATTAGTGTAATTTTTTAAAGTTGCTGAAGTGGGTTTTCTGCTGAGTACATGTACTAATCTTAGCAAGAGCCCACCAACTCAAGGAAGAAATTAAGAAAAAACAGGAATAAATATGTAACTTGAGGCCTACGACAATGGAAAATAACTTTAAATTAGATGTGACAGTTTGTGATGTCATTTTCTACATTTGCACATTCACATGCATCCACACAAAGACCCAACCCACAAACATCAAGTACTTCTCAAGACACCAGAAGAAGCTGCTAGAATCAAAAAGCTGACAGATGTGTTGTATAGGGGTCATGGCTCCCCAGCCCACAGGCTGTTCACAGGAGCTAATTAGAGACATGGGACAAGCAAGTGAGGCTGCAAATAGTCTGTGGCCAAGCTTCCTGGGACCTTCAGCACATTGGTGAAGCTGAGGGTCAATAGGATGGTTCAGCCTCCTCACAGAAAGCCACAGACAATGATGGTGATCAGGAAAGCTAGCCAAGGCATAGCAACCATCTCTGCACTGTCTGAATTATTCTAAGCCTTTGAAACAGAAGAAAGAGTCCATTCACCAAGGACAGGTAAACTGAATTACAGGTTCAATCCTGAGTGAAATGGAAAAGGCAGAAAATGCTGGCATGTATACTTCTCTTCTCCATTTCTGCTTTTCTGAGCTTGTCCTTACTCCTGCTGGTGCCTCTGTGCTGCCTCTAGCTTATCCCATCTCAGGCAGCACATCCTTAAATGTTTGTGACCATCCTCCCCCTCCCCTTATTGTGTTACTGCTTTTTATTTTTCTCTAGAAGAGAGGGAATAAACCCCCAAGACCAGAGTGTACAGGTGTCTGGATTAAACACTGCAGGATCTCCGGAGATGTTTTCACATCAGTCTCTTCCCAGAAATGCTCTCCCCCTCATTTTGGATATGTACAGTGCATAAACTGTACAACCATACCCAGCAGTCCTGTATACAGACCCCAAATCAGAACAGCCACAAAGAGTTTTATCCATTCATCTGTTCATTCACTCATTCAAGTCATAAATATGTGTTGCATCTAGCATGTGCCAGACACTAGTGGGTCTTGGGACAAATACTAGTAAAAAATAATGTATAATCCCTGCCCTCAAGAGACTTACAGTCTAGACACATCATCAATGAGTAACATTACAGAGTAGAGCAAGCTAGACTTGGGGGATATACAGGAGGGGATTCACATGCAGTCTGGGCATCAGCAAAGGGAGAGCAGGCCTTACCACATTTGGGTTGACCTTATGTCGGAAGCACGTTATGTTCACCACATATGGCCAATCATCAGGCTCCATCAGCACCCCAGCAGCATGAGCACATGTGACGTGGAAGGAGGCCGGGCAACGCCCATAGGAACACTGGATGCAGGCTCCAGAGACCTTCTTAACCCGGTGTCTGCAGAACATGCATTTCTGCAGGATTAAAACAAAGACTGTCAATTCAAACTCTGTTAACTCAGCAAATTTCCACATTTCACAGCATAACAACTTTTAGAGAGGAAGAAAACTGATGACATCAGCAAGGCCTGATCTCTAGGGGCCCTAGCGGTGAAATTGACTGTGGCAATACAAGCCACATACCTTCAAGGGAACATGCCGGTATGGCCACATCCTACAAGACATATGCAGAAACACTCCTTGCAGTTAGGAAAGCCAAGCCCCTCTCCACATGCTTCTCCATGCAGAGAGTTGAGGAAAAGGCCCCCTGGTTGCTCCTGTAAATCATCCATGAACTCTGAAGCTACTTCTCTTTTACCGCCTGCATGGTGGGCTTTTCTGTACATCAGACAGGCACATTTTCTCCTAAATTAGATGAGGTCATCAAAAATACCCAAATAGCACACAGATGGGCTAAGGTTTCTATTTACAGGGAAATGTAAAGTGTTAAATGGGCCAATGTGGAAACTACAGGCTCAAGTGTTTAATAATCCAAATCTGAACCTTTCATGACTGAAACAAAAATATGCCTCCCAAAGTGAGAAAATTGAAAATCACCCCAAAGGGCATAATTTTGTTGAATAACTATAGCTGACTATGCCTGGGAAAGGAAGAATGGAAATAAAAACAGCAATAATAATTACCACAATCTGAAAATTAAATTGCATACAATTAGCCCTAAACGTTATCAGTACATTTGTTATGAGAGATGGGAAAAAATCAAACAGCTTCACTAAATGCAAGATTTGTGAACTAATACTTGACAATTAGGAAAAAAGAGTTGTAGAACAATGTAGGACCAGGTTCAGAAAGCAAAAGAAACAGAATGATCAAAAAGCTCAACTGTTCCTTCCTACGGATAAAGGAAGTCTGCAAGCTGACCAAATGTTGGTGAAAATGCTTTTCTTTTATAGGTACGTTTTCTTTCCTGAGGCAAAAAAAGATACTTGCACTCAATGACCTTAGAGGACCATACTGTCTTATCACTGACTTGCAGGAATCAGTGTGTCCTAAACTTCTAACTCTTTGCCCTCACATCTGATCAGCATCTTCAGTCTTATAGATTCTGCACCTTAATCTTACTCTGATTTCACTCTATTCATCTACACCAACTGCCACGATCTTGGTCCATGGTGTCTTGCCCAGTGTAATAATGGCCTCCAACTGGACCTCTTCTTTTATTTCATGTCATTTTGATTCATCTACCCAAAGAACTAAAATAAGACCCATTATAATATGAATAAAAGCATTATTTAACATCTGATATCTCTTTGGCAAATTCTTGGTATTAGGTTCAGTATATTCCTGGTAATTCTGAGTATTCTGGTACCTTTTTTCTCAAATCCAACCATTCGAAATATGATGACAGGTAAGGCAGCAAGACCTCATATCAGAAACCCCAGGCATAATCAGATAATCTTTTAAGAGCCTAATCATACCACAGTGAGGTCAGTGTTTGAATAAATTCAGATACTGACAGATGTATGAAAGGAGAAATTGTTTCCTATTTTACTAATTAAATAGAATCAAGAATAAGGAAGAGTATTATGACTTAGCTAATTAATGAGTTGATAACTCCAAGCTTCTCAGCCTCTTCTACAATTCTTCCTCAATAAACAGCAACTCCAGAAAGAAGGAAGGAGACACAGAGTATACATTTAAGCTCAGTAATAACTCAATCCTTGGAAATTTGTAAGGGAAATGCCTCCTTTCCCAGGAAGACTGGATGGGGCCATTTCTCAGGATAGATCCATGATCCTTAGAAAGTCAACGCAACTGCAGACTACTGTAATACCATGCTTTAGAAGATACTTATTTCATGGAGTTAAGAAGTTTGACCTAAACATTAAACAAGTTCTTGCAGAGACAGAGAATTCCGCAAAACTTGGTAGGGGAGCCATTTTCTATCTTGTAGTACAGTCTACATAGTACTTCTGAGCCCATTTCACTTTTGTTGTTGTTCAGTCACTCAGTAGTGTCCAACTTTTTGCGACCCCATGGACTGCAGCACTCCAGGCTTCCCTGTCCTTCACCATCTCCCAGAGCTTGCTCAAACTCATGTCCATTGAGTTGGTGATGCCATCCAACCATCTTGTCCTCTGTTGTCCCCTTCACCTCCTGTCCTCAATCTTCCCCAGCATCAGGGTCTTTTCTAATGAGTCGGCTCTTCACATCAGGTAGCCAAAGTACTGGAGCTTCAGCTTCAGTATCAGGCCTTCCAATGAATATTTAGGATTGATTCCCTTTAGGATTGACTGGTTTGATCTCCTTGCAGTCCAAGGGACTCTCACGAGTCTTCTCCAACATCACAGTTTCACTTGCTTGCTACTAAACCAACTGTTCTTTACGCTGGCTGAAGCATCTGTGGCAATTTGACAACTGCACTGCTGGGCTATGGAATTTAACTCAATAAGGTAAAGATGAGGATACATAAGACACTTCCTAGAATGTTTCAAATTAGAATAAAATTAAGTACTATGAAAGAAGTAGAAACAAAATGCCATATGGAACTAGAATGACCAGTGCAATGAGGGTATGCTTGTGGGCAACAGAAGAAAGAAGGCTTTAAAGAAATGCAATGCTGACTAGATCAAGATAGCAGACTTAGCCCCTGCTATAAACTCTCCAGTCCCAAACCCTAAATAAATAAAGAGATAGGAAAAAGAATGAAATCACAATAGCACTAACTAACAAAAAAAAGGAGCACTTAATTCCAGGGACAAGAGCCTCAGTAAAAACTATTCCTAGGTATCTCTGAGGAGGCAGTTCTGGCAAGGCCAATGCCAAGAGCAGAAGCAAATAATTAAAATAATTAAATTTATTAAAAATTTTAATAATTAAAATCTTTCCTAATGGGTTAAAAAAAAAAAAGACAAGTGACCCACTTCCAAGCCAGCTCCATGGTCCACCCTGCCCCCACTCATCACCAGCAGGTGAAGTAAACTGATCTGATCTGAACCCAAGTACCTGAGCTATCATTCGCCAGTAGGACAAGTAGATTCTCATTTGGGCTAAGAGAAAAAAAAGTGCACCCTAGTATGCAACCAGAATACAATCATATACTTTAAAAATCACAAACACTTGAAGGAAAAAAATGCCATGAACAAGAAGTGCTATACTTATAGAAGAGTTGGCCTAAGGAATCAGGTAATGGGAAACAGAAGATTAGTTAAAAGAGATATAGTACATATTATGATAGAGATTCCAAACTATATCCCATCAACTAAAAAACAAAAACAATAACAAGTTACAGTTCTAAAATTAAAAATATTATTGTTAAAAAAAACAAGATGTGCCAAATTCTGGAGTGGATCCCAATGAAGATCAAATTAGCAACTGAAAGATGGAGCCCAGAGATTGTACAGAACACAGAAGAAAAGATCAAAAAGAAGTAAAATGAAGCACAAAGGCTAAGGAGTATGGAAAAGAGATCCAGATGTTCTATTGTCTCTCTAAGAGGCATTCTAGATGAACAGAAAAAGAGAAAATAACAGAAAACAATCCTGACCTGAAAAAAGGCCCAACAAGTAGGACTGATTTTTTTAAATAACCTAAACACATCTTAGATTTCCAAATAAACAGAGAAAATTCCCAAATCTTCCAAAGAATGAAAGAGAAAAATCAGATTACCATAAGATCTCTAGTCTGCAACAGTGAGTGCTAAAAGACAATGAAACAATGTTTTCCAATGTCTAGAGGAAAATTAAATTAGGTCTACATCCAGCCTAATTTTCTTTCAAACATTAGGGCAAACAGATCTTTTTCCCCACAGTCAAGGATCAGAAGTATACAAGAAGAACTAAAGATTAACCAAGAAGCTAAATATGTGGATAAATCTAAATGAATAAGGACTTTATAAACAATAATAGTAATGTCCTCTGGGTTTGAAATACAAAGAGAATTTGAATAGATGATGATTGTAGCATGTATGGCAGAGAAGGCAATGGCACCCCACTCCAGTACTCTTGCCTGGAAAATCCCATGGACAGAGGAACCTGGTAAGCTACAGTCCATGGGGTCACTAAGAGTCGGACACGACTGAGTGACTTCACTTTCACTTTTCACTTTCATGCGCTGGAGAAGGAAATGGCGACCCACTCCAGTGTTCTTGCCTGGAGAATCCCCGGGACGGGGGAGCCTGGTGGGCTGCCGTCTATGGGATCGCACAGAGTCGGACACAACTGAAGTGACTTAGCAGCAGCAGCATGTATGGCAGAAGTGGTAAAAATGGAGTGACATAAACACTAAATGTTCTTATGTTTTTGAATTGACTGGAAAAAGGGTAAAAGTGCCAAAACTGAAAAAAAAACAGAATAAGGAAAAATTCAAACAAAGACATGAAAATAAAGAAACAGAAACACAGAATGGGTGGAAGCAAAGGAAAAAGCATACTGGAAATTTGCAGAACTAAACCCAATCATTCAGTATGTTAAGTGTAAACAGACTAAATTTTATCTTATAGACTAGGGTAGTGAACTTTTTCTAAAAGTGCCAGATAAATATTTTAGGCTTGTGTGCCAGACAGTGTCAGCTGCAACTACTCAACTCTGCACTGTGTAGTTGAACTGAACAATGTGGGGATTAGGGACACCAATCCAACCTCTGCACAGTCAAAAATCAAGTAACTTTTGACTCACCCAAAACTGAACTAATAATAAATTACTGAAGCCTTAATGATAACATAAATAGTTGATTAACACCTATCTTGTATGTTACATGTTTATATATTCTTAAAATAAACTAGAGAAAACATTATTAAAATACTCATAAAGAAGACAAAATATGTTTACAGTACTGCACTCTATTTATCCATACTTAAGATTATGTCTTTTCCGATGAGTCAACTCTTCGCATCAGGTGGCCAAAGTACTGGAGTTTCAACTTCAGCACGAGTCCTTCCAATGAACACCCAGAACTGATCTTCTTTAGGATTGAATGACTGGATCTCCTTGTAGTCCAAGAGACTCTCAAGAGTC